AAGGGTACTTTGCAGGAGCCAGGGCACTCTTTCAGATCTCCTGAGGAATCCAAAGCCATGGAGTAAATTAAAATCGGGCCGAGAAACTTTCAGAAGGATGTGGAAGTGGCTGAATGAGCCTGAGTATCAAAGGATGTCTTCTCTCCGTCTGGCCAGTGAGTTTACACTTGTCATTTGCTTGTTGCACGTTCCCCTCGAGTTTGTCGCTTTTTACTAACATATTCTTTTTCTGTTATCACTTTCAAGTAGTAGTGAAACATAGGTAATACCTGTCGTGTTTAGTTGTGTTGCTGTTTGTCCTTCAATCGATGTTTTCTTTATTTTAAACTAAGTATTTTTACCTACAGCATGCAAGCGCAAATCGGAAGAAAGCCAAAAGCCACCTGACGAAAAGACCTCCAAAAAACCTCGTTTAGTCTTTACCGATATTCAGCGGCGAACTTTACATGCCATTTTCAAAGAAACAAAGCGTCCCAGTAAAGAAATGCAGACAACTATTGCACAGCAATTAAATCTTGAGGTTTCTACGGTCGCAAATTTTTTTATGAACGCACGCCGGAGATCTTTGGACAAATGGCAGGATGATAAAGAGGTGGCGAGTAACACTAGTGTCGGAGGTGCACCGCCTAATCACCAAGCCACCGCTTCTTCTTCTCCGGCTCGAAGCATGGAAGAAAATGGTAGCTCTCCTAATCACTCTTCGCAGCATGCACATCATGATTCTCAGCTTTCATCAGATCCACCGATTCTCCATCCAGCTCATGAGGGCTTGGATTCCGCGGATCTTCAGCCACATCCGTCTCAACTTGGGTCTTTTAATCCCAACTCGGGTATTCAGCAACATCACCAGCATCACGATCTTGACTCAGTTACTGTGCTTAACTCGACTAGCGGTGGTCTTTTAGAACGTCATTCGACAGCAATTGGTGGATTGCCTCCACCTTCTCCAGCTCCTCCTCAGTTGACTGCGGATAATGACCCCCACCATCAGACTACTGTCGTGGTGACTTCAACAGGCGTGATTGTGACTAGTCCCTCAATAATTTCACCATCATCTCTTGACCCTTCCCCTATCTCCATATTATCTGGAGTCAATTTGAATCAATCTTCCGGTTCTATTTTGTTGGGAACTATCAACGCTGCTGGCACCTCTTCCATCAATACTTCTGTAACGCAACCACCCATTCTCGATCCTGTTGGCCCTCCAACTTCGCATCAGCTGGTCCAATCAGCTCATAGGGATCCTTTAAGTTTAGATCCTAATCATCATGCACTCTCTCAGATTTCTGATTCACTACCTAATATCCGGTCTACTATAAGAACTCTTCAGGCTCCGACTAACGCCGCATTAGCTGCATCATCGCTTCGGTCAGTTCTTCCTTCTGCTGCAACTTTGATTGGTCATGACCGGGGGAATGGCCTTCTGCATGTGTCTTCTACGACCATGTCTTTACCAAATTCGTCGACACTCCAAACTGCAGGCCTTACCCAGCTCAGGCCAATGAAGCCAGAACCTCCTGGAGCTGGAGCAAATGACCTTCTTTTGCTTAGCATCAATATAAATCCAGATGGAGAATGATTCCTTTTGGATTCTATTTTGATGCGCTAACTACATCTGGAATATGTCGATGATTTTGATACTCGAAGGCATGAGTCTTATTGCTTTCCAATTTTTCATCCGCTTTTTTAACTTGCAGCCAGGTCACTTTCCCTCGCCGGCTACACATTTTCTGCCTTCTTCAGTATAACACGAACTTTTCGTGACTTTGGCTGTGTTTTATTGCTGCGGCTTGCACGCGCATGCCAGCATTGATTCTTTTTTTACCACTGACTTGCCCACCGACGCTACCAAACTCAGTACCTTCTTCATGGTGACACTTCTTTTC